GGAGAGAAAATTGGCGTTTGCGGAGAGAGAAAGTGGAGAAGTGGGACGAGACTAAAGTGAATGTGACTGTACAGAAAGAGAAAGTTGTCTATGTTGGAGAGAGGACTCTTGTGACTTGTGAGGAACAGAGAGGAAAAGAGAGAGAAAAAAAGGGAAAAGAGCTATAAAGAAAAAAGAAAGAATAAACGGTTTGAAAAAAGGGATGGTTTTCCACATAATTAACATTCTGCCACTGAGTTCCTATTTTTGTGGCACGTGTATTTTCCACGACATGTGCTACATCACATTAATTTTGTTGCGTTTTAGAGATATGGGATATTCATAACAGACCATACCCCGCGTTTTATTAGGGTCGTTCTCTTTTATCTATAATTTTTTTTTAATTTTAGTATATGTAAAGTGAATAAGTATGACCAAAAATATAATTTATTAATAAATATATATCTGCAATAGCTTCTTTCCTATTAATTCAATAATATCTTTTAGTGAGTAAAACCTTCTTTCCTATTAATTCAATAATATCTTTTAGTGAGTAAAACCTTTCTTATGTATATAAAAACTCAAAGAGGTCTACCAAAAAAAGAAATTAAACTTTTGGCGATAAAAATCTAGATTACGAAAATTTTTAAAACTAAATTTGAGTGTAAAAAATCATGCATAAAAAATATTAAAATAACCTAAGAAATTATAATCTTTTGAACGTGATTGTTGATCAACATCAAATTAGCAACAAGTAAAAATAATCAAATTATAAAAAAAAATAGCAAATTGAGTGCTACGTGAAACAATCCAAAAGAAAGCAATGAAATCAATGCAAATTTTAGTATTATAAAGTTTTCCTTTTGATCGAGTTATACTAGTCAATATATTTTTAGGCAACATTCAACAATATCATGTTTAGTTTGAATTTTTAACATTAAATGATCAACATATTTTTGGGCTTTGTCTTTTCATAGAGTTTGAATTTGTAATAAATATGTAAAATTTTCAAATGAAAACGATCTATTGTAATAAATTTAATTTTTTTGAGTACCAAAATTATAGTTTTGTATAGATTTAGTAGAGAGGAGACATTTATTTAGAATGTACACACCTCAAAGAGATAAACTATTAATGTAAAATTATTTCCTTTTTTATCAAAGATTTTATTTTTATATATATTTGTATTGGATGAATCTATATTTTCCTTTTAAATCAGGAATTTGTAAAAACGGCAGCTTCTATTTATAAAGGAAATTATCTTATGATGTGGATTTGCAAGATTTATAAATATACGTTACGTTATAACTAAAGTAAAATAATAAATTAATGCAATTATGAAATAAACATATATGATTATATAAAAAATAATTATTCAATTTCAAATAAATGAGTTTCTTTATGCAAGAATTTCGTTGAATTCGTCTATTGAATCCTCATTGCAACTCTTTTCAAAAACTTGATTTTACAGTTCATCTTCCGTATTAAAAAATTATTTTATGCATTTACAAAAGTTAAATGTCATTTTGTCCAAATTCTAATAAACTTGTATTCAACACTTGAAATAGAAAATTATTCATAAAAAGAAACAAGAGAAACCAATCAAGCAAAGAATTGGGCAAGAAAGGGCACTTTCCTTTATCCCACTCAGATTAGCAGTTACGGCATAAAATGTAAGGCTAATTTATTGGAGAGAAAGGCAATTCAAACTCAAATCGGGATCAAGTAAGCTTATCCCAAGTTTTTGAATTTAATTCTGCGTATCTTAACTTGTTTTATCTTGGTCTTGTAAACTTTGTATTATAAATAATTCAATTCTGCTTATTGACAATCAATGATTTGAGCTTTGTTCCACCATAATTTTGTTTGGTAACTGTCATTTGACGAAGACCTTCACTTACCCTACTCACCAATATTACGAAGGATAAATTCGATGGTAGATTATCTAAACTCAAGCAATTTAATTTATATAATAATTAGTATGTATTTATTTAGTAACTATTTTTAGTTATTATTTAATAGAAATGTGAGAATTTAATAAAATTAGTTGTGGCGTTTAAAAATATTCTATTTACCGGATTACTTTTCAATTTTTAATCTGTAAGCTACGGGGTTCATCGATGGCCGACACGTATCCCAAATAAATGTTAGATTGTTCAATTGTTAAGGGTATTAAAGACTTTTCATCACAAAATTCGGAAGAGAGAGACGATGAATCGGGAGAGAGAATTTGCAGGAAAAGGAGAAGGAAAGTTCAGATCTGGCTGAGAGCATAAGGAAAACATTTTGTATTTTCCTTTTTAGTATTTCTTTTTTAATGAGAAAACATTTTTGGAAAAAAAAATTATAAAATAGGCAATTAGTGTGTCTTTAAGAATTAAAAAATGTTTTTAATTTCCTCAGGAAAATATCAGATCACAGAAAGGGAAAGAGGTAGTGGCAGAAATCGTAATATTCATCAAAATCCCCTTATCAAAAGTACCCTTTACATTGTTTTTGAAAATTTAAAAATTTATGAGTTCCGTTTCCACCTCCTTACCGGTATTAAGTTAAATATAGACATTTATAAATGCCTGTCCGTGTGGGACCTCTTATAACTGTTTCCTCTATTTTTCATTTTTTAAACTTTTTCCGTCGTGTTTTTTAATCGTACATGTCAAACATGTACGGCCGCTTGTTCACAAAAAAATGTTAAAGAAGAATCAACTGCCGAAGCGCTCGGCAACCGGCGGTGAGGGTTGTGGTAGCTGTGGCGCATTTTAATTGGCGGGGGACCCATCTGACAGACAAAAAGACGGAATGGGGTGTTTAAGGTCCCAACCAGTAACCTTCAAGTTATGGAATCACCGCCCAGCATTGTCGTTTGGGTTTTAAGGATTTGAGTTTGCCAAATGCCCTACGGCTTTGACAATTACAAGGTGGGTTGGAGTTGGATCTATCTGTGTTTTATCATCCTCTTTGGAACTCAAACATGTCTTTCACCCAAAGAGAAAATCACTTGAAAGAAGAAGTAGCACATCCTAAAAGACCAACATTAAAAGGTTTAGAGAATATAAAATTGTTATAGTTAAAATATTTCAAAGGCATTTAGATTAATTTGGTTATCTATTTATTATCGCATGATACGATGCAAAATAGATATTCTATTTTGGGAAGCACTTTAATTTAATAGTTCGATATAATTCATTGATTTTACTTTAATTTTCAACCTTATTTTAATTTAATTTCCCCCTCTCTTATGTCTACTCTAAAAATGTTGGACTGAACAACATAGTTGGGTTGTAAGTTGTATTGAAAAGGTTATTCTATTCAATATCTATTTGACTGATATTTTTGTTCTTATTATTTATTTTTTTTAAATTAAAAAAAATTAAAAGTATAAACTATAGAGGAAACCTAAATGATCTTCCTAATTAGTATTTAATTTGTTAGAGAAAAGCCATTGACCTTAAGCTAGTCCGTGAAAGAAACCCTTGGTGAGTCAATGTCAAAGTAAACCATCTGGCTGACTACACATGAACTGAGAAAATGAACAAACAGTCAAAAGCTTTAATCTTGAAGTTCAAATCGAGCTACTTCATTTTCTCTTCCTCACCATTTTCCCAATAGATTCAGTCATTGACGGATTAAACAAACAAATTTTTTTTCTCTTTGTGTTATCAATAAATTAATGCTTAATCTGTTAAGAAGGTTTAAATAAACCCTATTTTTAAACAATATATATGTATATAAGAGGTTGGGAAGATTTGACGATTGATCCAAACTGATTCACGAGCATTCAAACACTTGCAGAATGCATGTGACATGGCAAATGGGCTTTATCTATAAAATGATTTTTTTTATTAATATAAAATAATAATTAAAAACTAATACATCGAGTATTCGGTTCAATTATAAATATATATAACTATTTATTTAAAAAATTAAGTTGAAATTCACTTTTTTTTCAAATAATAAATAAGTAAAAATAATTAAAAATTTTAAATATTGAAAGGTAGAATTGAAATAAATAAAAGTGGTTCTCCCTTTTGGCCCCATTTGGAAAACTAGAGGTTCAAGTTTAGACGCAAATATTTTTGAAGGGTTTATTGGGATGAACTAAATGGGACCATGCTCTTCCTTATTGCACAATGAATCAAATCACAGCCAACTATATGATGTGCCCAACAAGATATTGTATTTATAAGCTAAGTGGCTCTTAAAAGAAACAGTAGCTAGCACGGTTCGTAGAGTTGTGAATATTGTTCATCTAAATTATAGTCTCTTTAATAGTTTATCCAAAAATAATTGTTCATCTGTAATATATTAATTATATCATTACAAGTCCATTTTTTTTGGTGAATTTAAAATATATAAACTACCAATTGCCTCTAGTCTTAAGTTAGTGAATAGTATTTAGAAAAAAAAAATAATTTGTGGGTCTCCTTTCCAAAACTTAAAATGATATCAATTTGAGAATTAAGTATTTACATTCAATTAAGTCATATATTTTTTTTCTTTTTGAAAACGAGAAGAAGTCATCCCTATTAATAGTTGATCAGTCTTTTGTCATGTAATATTCTAACAATTAATAAATGATTTTATTCGATAGTCTTATATTTGCTCCCAAATAAAAAATTTGAAAAGAGTCTAAGATCTCCAATCGGAACAAATGGGTCGAAGCAGCCGTACATTCCCAGCGTGGACTTGGCTGGACTCCCCTGGTGTACGCGTCAACTCCTCAAATCTATGCCCAATGTCTGTCGGTGCTGCCTTCCTTTAGGATCTTATTACTTCCAAATCAACCATTAATAATTCTTTTTACTGCTTAATTAAATCTCCTGTCTTTATCGAGAAATTGGAACTTTCCTCCTGCCTTTGTTGACGTACATACCATCACTC